TCCAAAATATTTCAGCGGAAAAGAGTTCTCTTCTACCCTTTTAAAAAGATATACAGTCAGGTCCATAAATATTGGGACATCAACACAATTCTAACATTTTTGGCTCTATACACCACCACAATGGATTTGAAATGAAACTAACAAGATGTGCTTTAACTGCAGACTTTCAGCTTTAATTTGAGGGTATTTACATCCAAATCAGGTGAACGGTGTAAGATTTACAACAGTTTGCATATGTGCCTCCCACTTGTTAAGGGACCAAAAGTAATGGGACAGAATAATCATAAATCAAACTTTCACTTTTTAATACTTGGTTGCAAATCCTTTTGCAGTCAATTACAGCCTGAAGGCTGGAACGCATAGACATCACCAGACGCTGGGTTTCATCCCTGGTGATGCTCTGCCAGGCCTCTACTGCAACTGTCTTCAGTTCCTGCTTGTTCTTGGGGCATTTCCCTGCAGTTTTGTCTTCAGCAAGTGAAATGCATGCTCAATCGGATTCAGGTTAGGTGATTGACTTGGCCATTGCGTAACATTCCACTTCTTTCCCTTAAAAAACTCTTTGGTTGCTTTTGCAGTATGCTTTGGGTCATTGTCCATCTGCACTGTGAAGCGGCGTCCAATGAGTTCTGAAGCATTTGGCTGAATATGAGCAGATAATATTGCCCGAAACACTTCAGAATTCATCCTGCTGCTTTTGTCAGCAGTCACAAAATCAATAAATACAAGAGAACCAGTTCCATTGGCAGCCATACATGCCCACGCCATGACACTACCACCACCATGCTTCACTGATGAGGTGGTATGCTTAGGATCATGAGCAGTTCCTTTCCTTCTCCATACTCTTCTCTTCCCATCACTCGGGTACAAGTTGATCTTGGTCTCATCTGCCCATAGGATGTTGTTCCAGAACTGTGAAGGCTTTTTTAGATGTCGTTTGGCAAACTCTAATCTGGCCTTCCTGTTTTTGAGGCTCATCAATGGTTTACATCTTGTGGTGAACCCTCTGTATTCACTCTGGTGAAGTCTTCTCTTGATTGTTGACTTTGACACACATACACCTACCTCCTGGAGAGTGTTCTTGATTTGGCTAACTGTTGTGAAGGGTGTTTTCTTCACCAGGGAAAGAATTCTTCGGTCATCCACCACAGTTGTTTTCCGTGGTCTTCCGGGTCTTTTGGTGTTGCTGAGCTCACCGGTGCATTCCTTCTTTTTAAGAATGTTCCAAACAGTTGTTTTGGCCACGCCTATCGTTTTTGCTATCTCTCTGATGGGTTTGTTTTGTTTTTTCATTCTAATGATGGCTTGCTTCACTGATAGTGACAGCTCTTTGGATCTCATCTTGAGAGTTGACAGCAACAGATTCCAAATGCAAATAGCACACTTGAAATGAACTCTGGACCTTTTATCTGCTCATTGTAGTTAGGATAATGAGGGAATAACACACACCTGGCCATGGAAGAGCTGAGAAGCCAATTGTCCCATTACTTTTGGTCCCTTAACAAGTGGGAGGCACATATGCAAACTGTTGTAATTCCTACACCGTTCACCTGATTTGGATATAAATACCCTCAAATTAAAGCTGACAGTCTGCAGTTAAAGCACATCTTGTTCGTTTCATTTCAAATCCATTGTGGTGGTGTATAGAGCCAAAAATGTTAGAATTGTGTTGATGTCCCAATATTTATGAACCTGACTGTACAAGCGCCCTTTTTTTTTTTTTTTTTTGAGTTGCTGGCCCCTCATCTACCAGGCTGTCGTTTTGCCGCACACAGGTCCCAGTCTCCAGAGGTAGAACCTAGAATCAAAACCCAAGGAGGCCCTGAGTGCAAAAGTCATCCAAGGCAGATCCAAAGTCTGCCTACTTGTGAAGGGGCACCCCCACTCATCCAGGGTGGGGGGAAGGCTTTTGGATTTTATTTCTGCCTGGAGGGCTCTAATCCAAGACAAGTGGGTCATTTCCACGATTTCTCTGGGGTACAGACTAGAATTTTGGGCCTTTCCCACTCCCCAGTTTCTAAAATCAAATGTACTGATGAATCCAGAGAAGAGAACAGCTTTATTACAGGCACTCGATCGCCACATGTCTCGGGGTGATCATGGAGGTTCCAGCAGACGAACGGGTGTGTGTGTGTCGGTCACAAGTTATCTAAACAAACTGTTGCTCAGAGGTTGGTCGGTGCCAGGCCTAAAGCAAGATGGTGGTCCTTACGATGCAGATCCTGGAACAGCTGGGCTGCGTGCTTAACTTCAAGTAGTCGGCCCTAGAGCCAGTACAGAGCATGGAATATTTGGGAATGGTTCAGGTAAAGGTATTTCTGCCTCCAGGGAAACTGCACCATGAGAAACAAGGTTTTCAGCTTAAAAGCAAAGAGGTATCCTTCAATTCACCTCTGTCTGAGGTTGCTGGGTAAGATGGTGTCCTCGTTCGAGGCTATTCCCTGTGCCCAATTCACTCCAGACCACTGCAATGGAACTTTATGGCTGTTTGGAACAAGAAGGTTCCAGCCCTGGATTACTGAATGTCTGTCTCCAGAGGTACTGTGAAGCCTGAATTTCCTGGTTGATGACAATTTGGAGAGAGAGAGAGATCCTTTCAGCCAGTGGTGTGGAAATTGATAACCACAGATGCCAGCCTCTCAGGTTGGGGGCTGTCCTCCAGGAGGCCACAGTTCAGGGAGCGTGGCTTCCATGGGAAAGGGTTTTATTGATCAATATCCTGGAACTTCAGGCAGTGAAGCTGGCTCTGAGGTATTGGACATCCAGGCTTCAGGGATGGGCTGAAAGGATTCAGTCCAACAATGCTACCATAGTGGCATACATCAACCTCCAGGGCGGTACCAGGAGTCAAGGGGCTCAGGAGGAGGTGAATTACATTCTGATCTGGGCAGAGAGATATGTTCCACATTTGCCAGTGGTGTTCATTCTGGGGTGGAAAATTGGCAGGTAGATTTATCTCATTCGCCAGCGGTTGATTCCACAGGAATGGGTTTTGCATCCCAAAGGTTTTCAAGGGAATCGGCCAGCAATTAGGTTGCCCGGACATAGGTCTATTGGCATGCAGGTTCATCAACAAGGTCCGTCTTTTTGCGTCTAGTATAAGGGACCCTTGCATGGCAGGGGTAGATGCCTTAGTGATTTCTTGGAACCAGTTTTCACTATTTTATCCCATTCCTCCGATTCAGCTGCTGACATGTCTTTTACGCAGGATTCCGGAGGAGTCTGTTCCCGTGATACTGATTGCTCTGGCCTGGCCCAGGAGGGCTTGGTACACCGACATAGTGAAGATGGCAATAGACGGGCCGTGGTCCCTTCCATGTCGGCCAGACTTGCTGTCTCAAGGTCCTATATTGCACCCAGCTTTACAGTTGCTAAATTTGACGGCATGTCCATTGAAACCCAGATCCTGTACTGGATTCTGTCATCCCCATCATGTTGAGTGCTAGAAAGTTAGTATCTAGGAACATTTATTACAGAACTTGGAAGGGTTACATTTCCTGGTGTGAGGTCTGAAAATGGTACCCCACGAAGAAATGTGTTTGGTAGGATTCTTTCATTTCTTCAAACAGGTTGGAGAAGAAGTTGGCCATTGGTATCATTTAAGGGCCAGGTTTCAACATTAGCTGTTGTTGTTTTTTTTTTTTTTTTTTTCCCCAGAGGCTCATTGCGTGTCACTCTTTTGGTTCGCACTTTTTTTTTTTTTTTTTTTTTTACAAGGAGTAATATGTATTGCTCCTCCTGTCAGGTTGCCTGTGTGTCCTTGAGACCTGAACTTGGTTTTGTGGGTATTGCAAAAAACACCATTTGAGCCCATTAGAGAGATTCCACTAGTCCTGTTGACTCGTAATGTTTTGTTTCTAGTGATAATCACTTCTTCAAGAAGGGTGTCAGAGCTGGCAGCTCTGTCTTGCAGAGAATGATTTCTGGTTTTGCATCATGATAAAGTGGTGTTGCGACGTCAAACCGACTTTTTTACCAAAGGTGGTTTCTAGTTTTCATCTCAATCAGCATATCTGTCTGCCTTCATTCTTTCCTAGGCCTCAGTCAGCAAGAGAAAGACCTCTGCATACCTTGATTGTGGTACTGTCTTTAAGGGTCTTCTTGAAGGTGACAGCACAGGTCAGGAGGTCAAATGCTCTGTTTGTGCTACCAGAGAGGCATAGGAAAGGGCAGGCGACATCCCAAGGTGACTATTTCACATTGGATCTGCCAGTTGATCATTCAAGCCTATGGTTTGAATGGTAAGGTCCCATCCTTTCGGGTGAGGGCACACTTTATCAGGAGTGTGGGGGCATCTTGGGCAATTCACTATCAGGCGTCATCAGGGTACATGGTCTTCGGTTCACACACTCATAAAAAGGGTTCTACCAGGTGGATGTCAGAGGCACAGAAGATTCTGCCTTTGGCTGCAGTGATTTATGGATGGCTGAGTAGGTCCTGAGGGATTGACGGTGGCTATCATAGTGTCACCCTCCACTCAAATGTCTTTAGTGCTTTGGGACATCTCACATAGTCGTGAATAGCCTGCTCTGTGTCCTGTGATGTACGTTAAGGAACACTGGATTTTTTTCTACATGCCAACCTGTAAAATCCATTTCTTTGAGTACATCACGGGACGCATGAGGTCCCACCCCTCTTTTTGGAATTTCATTGCTTGCTACAAAAAAAAGTACTTCCTGTGTAGGAGGGGGTTATATAGGGGAGGACCTCCTCTCTGATTGGTCGGCCAGTGTCCATTCACCTATAGGTGGCATATAACCCACAGTCATGAATAGCCTGCTCTGTGTCCCGAAATGTACTCCAAAAAAAATGGATTTAACCGGTAAATATGTAGAAAAAAATCCAGTAGTAATGGAGTTTTTTTTTTTTTTTTTTTAAGTGATATTGGTTCTAGTGCTTCGCACAATAACATTCTGTAGGTGTTAATCAGTGAGAGGTTAGATATAATGTTATGTGACTATTTCACTTCATCTTACAGCTTTCTGCTTTTCTTGTTACAGTATTCATATCTGCTTACTAGCCAGCTGGAATCTCAGCGCATCTACTGGGAAAACAAGATTGTGCGTTTGGAGAAAGATACAGCAGATGAGGTGAGTGACGACCAAGAAAAATATTTCTTTGGAGTTTACACTACAGTACTTACCTGTGCCATTATTCCTATTCTGCCTTGATTTAAAAGGGACATTCCTGCCTGTTTGCAGCATACACAATTTCCCACCTCGGCACACACCCTAGGTCCTGTTTAACAACATGCAGGAGCTCAAGGAGCAAACATGACTATATGCTTTGTATTCAAAGCATGGTTCAGTGCTGTAGGAGATACCAGTTTTTCACTAATCTGCTGGTCTGTATTCTCTGCTACAAAGCCATAGTGAGAGCAAAATACAATGACTGCTTTGTCAGATTAATCAATTGAAATGCCTTATAGTTTGTGCTGTTTTCATAAGGTAACTGGTATTTGAAATGCATAACAGACAAGAATTTCACTAAATTCTGTCGAGACAGTATAACCAGACCTCACCAGGTTATATTGAGGTGAGCAAAGAGGAACCCAAAAGAAATCTGATAAACCATTGTTAAGATTGTAGAGACTTTTACTAATAGATGGTATGTTCATGTCTGTCTTCCAAAACAAATCATCCCAAAAAAGAATAGTGGGCAGAGCCATGCAAACCATGTTTTTGTTTCTGGCTCCTGGGACAACTGTGCATCCAGATCCTCTGGTTTACACGGCATCCCCAAACCCAATTTTAGAACAGTTGTTTGACTGCCTGCCTTATTATCACCTGTCTGATTGTACTTTCTCAGTCTCCAAGCCCCTTCTTTTTTTTTTTTTTTCTTCTATAAATGCTGGTTTACGGGCCACTTTATCTTAACGTGTATGATTATAATTTCTTAAAGTGATATTAAAGCTTCCTATGTTCTTAAATTTTAAATATGTTTGTACATGTTATACTTGCCTGCTCTTTGCAATGGTTTTGCACAGAGCATCTCCAATCCTCCTCTTCTAAGGTCCCCCACCGTCGCTCTCTTTTCTGTATGCCACCATAGTAAGCTGCTCCCTATGGTGTCACACATGTGGGCTTGTTTCTGAACCTTGCTGTCTGTGTCTATTAACACAGATAGTGGAGTTTGCCCATGCCTCTGCTCTCTTGTCATAGAATTTGATTGATCTCCCACTGCTATCAGTCGTCCTGGTACTCTCGTGAACAATGCTGGATCAAGATTGGTTATGTATGAGGGGGGCTGGGGTGGTACTTTGCAACAGAAGGTTGTTTACCTTAATGCGTAGAATGCATTAAGGTAAATAACCTTAAGGCTTTTAGAACCACTTTGATTCCCAAGTTGTATTCTAGAACTGCTGGTTTACAGCCCATCTTGCCATAACCCGTAGGATTACTGCGTTGTTCTCCAAGTCCTACTCCATAGAAGCACACATACATGGCACAGCTGATGGCCAACAATGCTGAAATAGGCTGCAGTTTTGGAGTAAATGCTCTGTAGCGTTAAGCTACGTACAACCCCAATTCCAAAAAAGTGTGTAAAATCTACATAAAAACAAAATGCAATGATTTTTCAAATCTCACAAACCCATATTTTATTCACAATAGAAAATGGCAAACTCATCAGATAGTTTAAACTGAGAAAATGTACCATTTTAAGAAAAAAATTAAGGTAATTTTGAAATTGATTACAGCAACATGTCTCCAAAAAGTTGGGACAAGGCAACAAATGCTGGTAAAGTAAGTGGTACTAACAAGGAAGAGCTGGAAGAACATTTAGCAACTAAGTTAATTGGCAACAAGTCAGTAACGTAATTTGGTCTAAAAGGGCATCTTAGAGAAGCCAGATTGTCTGTCTGAAACGTAAAGATAGGCAGAGGTTCACTAATCTGTGAAAAACTGTGTTTAAAATTGTCAAACAATTTCATAATAATGTTGGGACAGGGCCACGTTTACAACAATGTATCATCCCCTCTTCTTTAAAAACACTCTGTAAATATGTAGGAACTGATGAGACCAGTTGGAGTTTTCGGCGAGGAATGTTGTCCCATTCTTGCCTGAGCATATGCTGCTCTAAAATCTGGATATACAGTTGTGTTCAAAATAATAGCAGTGTGTTGAAAAAAGTGAATAAAGCTCAAAATCCTTCGAATGGCTTTTTTTAGTGTTCCCAAATGCATTGGGAACACTACACATTCTATTCCAAATCAAAACATGAAGAAAAATATATCAAATTTGTGTTGTTCCTCTAACAAAAATTGAAGAAAAGTCAATATTAGAAAAATAGCAGTGTTTGTATTCTTCTTTACAAACTCAAACATTCACTATATAAACTGAAAAATGTTTGAAGATTTTGCTTTCCTTTGAATCACTTAGTTAATATTTAGTTGTATAAGCACTGTTTCTGAGAACTGCTGTACATCTGTGTTGCATGGAGTCAACCAACTTCTGGTACCTGTGAACAGGTATTCCAGCCCAGGATGATTGGACTACATTCCATAGTTCTTCTCTATTCCTTGGTTTTGCCTCAGAAACTGCATTTTTGATGTCACCCCACAAGTTTTCTATTGGATTAAGATCCGGGGATTGGGCTGGCAACTCCATAACGTCAATCTTGTTGGTCTGGAACCAAGATGTTGCACGTTTACTGGTATGTTTTGGGGTCATTGTCTTGTTGGAACACCCATTTCAAGGGCATTTCCTCTTCAGCATAAGGCAGCATGACCTCTTCAAGTATTCTGATGTATTCAAACTGATCCATGATCCCTGGTATGCGATAAATAGGCCCAACACCGTAGTATGAGAAACATCCCCATATCATGATGCTTGCGCAACCATGCTTCACTGTCTTCACAGTGTACTGTGGCTTGAATTCAGTGTTTGGGGGTCGTCTGACAAATTGTCTCCGGCCACTAGACCCAAAAAGAACAATCTTACTTTCATCAGTCCACAAAATGTAACGCCATTTCTCTTTAGGCCAGTCAATGTGCTCTTTGGCAAATTGTAACCTCTTTAGCACATGTCTTTTTTCAACAGTGGGACTTTGCGGGGGCTTCTTGCAGATAGCTTGGCTTCACATAGGCGTCTTCTAATTGTAACAGTACTCACAGGTAACTTTAGACCTTCTTTGATCTTCCTGGAGCTGATTGTTGGCTGAGTCCTTGCCATTTTGGCTATTCTTCTATCCATTTGAATGGTAGTTTTTTCGCTTTCTTCCACGTCTTTCAGGTTTTGGTTGCCATTTTAAAGCATTTGTGATCATTTTAGCTGAGCAGCCTATCATTTTCTGCACTTCTTTATGTTTTCCCCTCTCCAATCAACTTGCTGTTCTTCTGAACAATGTCTGGAATGACATCTTCCTCAGAATTTCAGAGAGAAATGCACTGTAACCAGCATGTACAACATTTGCTGCCTTCCTTCCTTAAATAAAGGGCAATAAAATATGGGATTATGAGATTTGCAGATCATTGCAATCTGTTTTTGTCTAGGTATTACACAGCATCCCAACTTGTTTGTAATTGGGGTTGTATATCTGCTGCAAACCAGAAGATATATATATATATAGTTGGCCCTGAGGCATAAAAGAATGATTTGCATAGTTCAAACTGCTGTCCTCCAATAAGAATAAAACCTAAATAAACTTTAATTTTCTGGATTTCGATGGATGTGATAAACGCAGGTACCTATTTTGTTTTAAGGAGGCTCTTTGGTGATTTTCACCAGTAAAAACTGTCCAGATTTTTAGGTAGAGGTTGGGCTCTTGAAAAGCACAGCAGAAAAAGAATATATACAGTATAGCATAGCTACAGAATAAAAATTGATTGCGAAAGGAAGATGAACCCCTGCAAAGATCAACAAGATGTTCAGGGCTAAAACACACTTTTGGCAAAATTTGCTCACAAAAGATAAATGAGTGTTTGTATGTACCATTTTCTAAGGATTACCGTTTGTTGCCAAGTCAAAAGCAGCAGAAATAATTCCACAACATATTCAAAATGATGCATTTACATACTGTTACTACAGATACTTGAAACATGATTTTGTACTTTGCTATTCATAAAATTATATTATGTAAATGAAACCGGTTACAAAGTTTGTAGCTTTAAAGCTTTTAGCCTCAATGATAAGACCACAGTTCCTGTCATCAGCCCTTACTGATGGCACTTGGCACAGGGATAATATTTGTGTTTAATGACTTGGTTTTTGTTTTCTCAGATTAACAACATGAAAGCGAAGTTCAAGGAGACAATAGATAAGTGTGATAGCCTGGAGCACAGGCTAAATGATCTTCTCAAGGAGAAACAAGTTGTGGAAAGAAAGTGAGTAAGAATCTTTAACATTTTTAGGCAGTCCCTACATTATTCATGGCTTAACGGTAGTGATTAGGAAAGTTTTCAAACCTGCCCAATCTTTGTGCACTAGAAACATTTCGACATCTTGAGGCACCTTGGAGAATTCCATTAAAAAAAAAAAAAAAAAAAAACAAAAGATTAAACTTAGTTGAATAGCTATAGCTCTCATCAAGCGCTGTATATGTGTTGTGGAGAAATTACATTTTTCTAAATTCACGACATGGGCATTGAAATATAAACATTTTTCTGTAGAGTACATAATCTTGACAGGTTGCCTGTCCTCTAATGTGAATAAACAAAAGAGGCTTTTAAGCTTAACCTAAACCCAACTTCAGAAAATTTGCTTTGATCATTTAGGATGTTTGTGAATGAATAACTTTGCATTAAAAGCAGCTAGAGAGGTCAGGGATGGCTTATTTTAAAGCTGCCTGTTAATGTGGTATTGAACCCAGAAGCATACATTTTATTATATTGCAGTTTACCAATTCTTAAACATGGTTACTGCATTAGTTTTCTTTTTTTAGGCTTTTTTCTCTTATTTTTATCTGGTGATATGTCCAGTAAGTCTGTTTGTCAACAGAACATGCTATCCTGCGAATGTATCAGTTAAGAGTGCTGAGACATGCTATTTACCACTGACAGGTGCTTACAATGATCCCCTTTTATTTGTTTATGTGAAACCCATTGTCCCATAAGAAACAATTGTTGTAACTGCTTGTGTAACTACAGTGTGAGCTGCAGTTCGTCTTCAGTTTGTTGTATATAAATCTGCTAGTACATCTAACACCTCCCTTCCCTAGACTGACAATGCTTCTGTCTACTTTGCACTTGTGTTCCTTCATCCAGAATGGGGTGCTGTAATACAAGGGGTGCGTTACTGGCCAGATTGCCAAGGGAAAACAAAGGGGGAAAAGAAGCATAAAACAAGAAAATTTGTGCAGCCACCATATGTAAAGATTGGTAAGCTGCACTATATTACATTTTTGCATTTTGGTTTAATACCACGTTAATAATTATTTTTTTAATGTCCATAGGCCGGACACATCAACATCCTGGTACCCCAAAATGCAGGGTGTACGGATGTCCAAAATTTTTTTTTTTTTTTTTCCAAAAGCTGAGGGCTGGACCATTTTCCTCCCCTTCTATGTCTGCTCTATAATGGCATACTGCATAAGGACCCATTTTGCACATCAAAAAAAAAAATTCGGACTTGCATTTATTTTGCTTCTTGAATGCATGTTTGCCCCAAACAATGAGTAAATATTGTCTGAAAAATGGAAGGAAAATTTAGTAGACTGCTAAACCGGAACCCAGGGCATGACATAGAAACTGTGGCATTGAATATTATGGTACATATTTTTTTTTTGTAGTTCATACCACTGCAGCAAACTGTAGCAGTGGAGATTGACCTTGTGAGCTTGTTCCCATGCATTTAAAAACAAATCCAGGCAAGAATTAATGCAGCATTTAGTATTGGTGTCAGTGATGTGCAGATCTTTATTTATTTTTTATTTTTGCAATAAATAAATGATGACTAGTTTTAGGGCCTAGATTGACTGGCTTTTATTCATTTTAAATGGGTTGAAGCAGGTCAGGGGGGGGTCAAATGTACCTGTCATTGAATTCTGAATGATTTCAGAAGTGTCTTGAACCGATGTAAGTCAACACAGCTCCCTTTTTACATGGCCTTAGAGTTGGAATTCTGACATGGTGTGAAGACAAAAATATAACTTGCATGACCAAGGCTACACAGGAGGGAGTTGTTTGCTGCATGCGTCTGCTCGGGGGGCGGGCGGTTGGGAGTTCAGGAGGAAAAAAACCTAGTCTACTCAATGCAACATCAAAGGAAGAAGTGTAGACATGGAAAAAAAATTAAAATATAATTTGTTTGAAATAAAGATAACACACACAAATACCAGTGCTAACTTAATAATCCATTTAATGATGTGTTTTCCACAGCAAGCAAAACAATGGGAATTGAATAAGTTAAAGTGAAAAGTTTTCAATTCCACAAACAACATGAAAACAAAGTTTTGTTTTTTTTTTCACACTCATTCTTTCTTTATCTAAATTGTTCAGCAAAAGAAGATTTAAAGCAGAACTCCAAGCTAATCCACTGATCTACCAGGGAAGACAGGTCCCTGATGATCCTGCACACCCCTAACACCTCCCGTGGTCTAGCAATCTTGTGCAGTGACTGTTCCTGATCACTCCCATAGACCTGCTCTGGATGTATGTCCACTGCTGGACATAGGGGAGCGCCGTTTTCTTGAGGATTGAAGGATCGGGTGATTATAGCTTCTGTGTTCACCCTAGACAAAACGCGCAGTTAACTCATGCAGTGCAGGCCCCACTGCTTGGGGGAAAAAAAAAATGCCCAGAGTTGGACTTTAAAGCAGAAATTAACCCTCCTATCCAACAGGAACAGTGCCAATATAGCCTCTATTTAGGTCTGCAGTTGCTTTGGTGTATGACACCAGCCATTTGAGGCCCTTAAAGAGTGCTGACATAAGCACTCTGGCAACAGACAGATTTTACCAGGTGTATTCTAGACATTCATGTAGCATTGACTGTCCATTCACTAGTAAGCAAAATATAAGTGAAACGAAAACAACATTGGTACAGTCATGTGAACAAGCGAGTACACTCCATGGAATAATTGACTTTTTCAATATATTTGTACAGGCAAATGTTAGATCTGGATTCAAATGGTGCCTACAGATAAAGGTGCAGTACTTGAATAAATGATACATAAAACTGACATGATGTATTTATTATCTTGATTTAAATTGGGAAAAATGCAGATTTGTCATTAATTAAGTAAGTATACCCTGCACTGATCACCATTTCAAATCCATGAAATCAGAATATGGTGTTCCAGATTAGGTTCTAGTGATTAGAACCTCCTTACACAATATGCAGATGGAATGTGTCTTCAAAACTTCAAACTGCATATATTTAGAGTCAGGTGTTCTCTTTGCTATGGATGTGCATGGTGTCACCATGCCAAGATCAGTAGAGCTCTCTACGGTCCTCAAAGTTGTGGATGCCTGTGAGTCTGGCAAGGAATTTAAAGATTTCCAAATTATTTGAAGTCAATTCTTCAACTGTAAGGAAAATAAATTACAAGTTGTGTAGATTTCAAGCAACTGTTAATCGTCTAGGACTGGTCGACACAGCAATCTGAGCCCAAGAACTGACAAAATAAGTCTCCAAGTGCACCAGAAATTCATTACAGGGTGTGTTCAGTTAACTCTTGCAACAGTTGGGGTCAAAGTGCAAGCACCTACAGTCAGAGACTATATCAGTTTAGAGAGGGGTGTATTAAGGAACATTCGAGCTAGAGCACAGTTTGCCACTGAACATACAGACAAAGGCCAGGCCTTCTGGAACAATGTACTGAAGACTGATCAATCAATTTATAGTGTTAATTGGTCACAGTAACAGTAAACATTATAAACCAAATAAACTTTTCAGGAGAAGAATATCACAACTGTGAAGCATAGTGGTAAAATGTTATGGTTTGGAATTCCTTTGCTGCTTCAGCACCTGGGCAGCTTGCAGCCATCAAGTCAATTGCACATTCTGCGTCATATCAAAGTGTGCTAGATGTGAGGCTAATCTGTCTAAAAGTTGAACTGGAAATTAACCTTCCAACTTGATAATGATCTAAAGCACTCTAGCAAATCCACTGAGGAATTGCCCTAACAGATAAATGAGGGTTTTGGACTGCCCTAGTGAAAGCCCATATTTGATTCCCTGTGAAATTTTGCAGGGTGATTTTTGAAGCAAGCAGTTCATGCAAAGAAAGCGACAAACACACCATTATATCTGTGGATATTTTTGTTAACTAATTGAAAAGGCCACATATCAGTATATCACCTTTATGGGTAGGCACTGTTTGAATAAATATTTAATGTTTGCCTGTTTACATAATTCGTTTCCATGGGATATACTTAATTTTTTACATGATTGTATATTTGGTTGAGGATTTAGTAACAGTTACTGTTTTAAAGCGCTTTGTTTGGTCAAATGGTGAAATTATCCATTTATTTCCACACTGGATTTCAATATACTTCTAGCCCATTCCTAATATTAATCTGAACAATCTTGAAGTTTGAAAACCTACTTTTTTTTTTTTTTTTTTTTTTTTTCTTTACATATTTACTTCCTTGAATTCATTATGCCCTGTGAATACGCATTTTACAGAGCCTGCCTTTTTAACTACAGAGGTGCTGAGAGGACAACCCATTTACAGTGGGGATCAAAAGTTTGGGCACCCCAGCTAAAAATTTGTATTAATGTGCATAAAGAAGCCAAGGAAAGATGGAAAAATCTCCAAAAGGCATCAAATTACAGATTAGACATTCTTATAATATGTCAACAAAAGTTAGATTTTATTTCCATCATTTACACTTTCAAAATAACAGAAAACGAAAAAATGGCGTCTGCAAAAGTTTGGGCACCATGCAGAATTTATAGCATGCACTGCCCCCTTTGCAAAGCTGAGACCTGCCAGTGTCATGGATTGTTCTCAATCATTGTCTGGAAGACCAGGTGATGTCAATCTCAAAGGTTTTAAATGCCCAGACTCATCTGACCTTGCCCCAACAATCAGCACCATGGGTTCTTTAAGCAGTTGTCTAGAAAACTGAAACTGAAAATAGTTGACGCTCACAAAGCTGGAGAAGGCTATAAGAAGATAGCAAAGCGTTTTCAGATGTCAATATCCTCTGTTCGGAATGTAATTAAGAAATGGCAGTCATCAGGAACAGTGGAAGTTAAAGCAAGATCTGGAAGACCAAGAAAAATATCAGACAGAACAGCTCGCAGGATTGTGAGAAAAACAATTCAAAACCCACGTTTGACTGCACGATCCCTCCAGAAAGATCTGTCAGACACTGGAGTTGTGGTACACTATTCCACTATAAAGAGATACTTGTACAAATATGGTCTTCATGGAAGAG